ATCGCTGGGCAGTGAATGTTTGAAGCGGGGGTTTGAGCATTTTTGCTCATTTCTTCATTCTTGGGCAATTTTTGGAACTTCCTGAGAGGGGTATTCACCTAGCAACTTGGAGGTAAGTTAATCCCACCTATTCCAAGTTAATTACTAGGATTATATCTAGATTTTAACATGGAAATTCATGGGAAATTAGTGCAAATTTGGGGTTTTGAAGAAAAACCTAGAAATTTATATTTTTGGATTTTGACCACGAAAATGGACATGGAACTTGGAATAAATTATACATTTGAGTTCGTGGTGATATGGGTAAAGTTTATCTTCGAAAATCATTGGAATCTGGGCATGTGGGCCCGAGGGTTATTTTATCAACTTTTCGAGCGGAGTTGGGAAAATTGTTTAAATTGAATTTTTGTGAGTATTAGAGTGTATTTTTATGGGTTTGCACATGTATTGACTAGTTTTGGAGCGTTGGGCATCGGTTTGAGTTGTTGGAAAGGCTTGGGAGCCGGCTATGGAACTTCGGAGCGAGGTATGTCTCCTTTATAACCTTGTACGAGGGAATTAACCCCATAGGTGAAATAATTCAATATGTGCTTCTATTTGTGGGGGCTACGCACGCGCAAGGTGACGAGAGTCCGTGCGTAGCTACTATTATGCTTATGTCCGGATAGAATAGGACCCAAATCATGCTATGCTTGTGATATTCGCAATGTTATTGTTAATATAAATTGCTTAAATCATACTGAACTTGGTAAACGAACTTTTAAAAGGTTAAACTTCATTTTCTTGACCGTTAAACGAGAATTGACATTTTCTTGGATAGTTGCTCCTTAATGAATTCTTGATTGACTATTGATTGTGTTTTTCTTTAGTGGAGCGGGCCGAACGCCTCAACAGATTAAATAGATGCATCTATGGTTCGCGCCGTTCGACCCTCGACAGTGCACAATTTACTTTTATATGTTGGATCGGGCCGTACGACCTCGACATGATTTGCGCATGATTGAATTTATTGCCTGGGAATTTATAATAAATGATATTGCCTCATTGGCTTGAGATAAATTGTTAAATGATAAGAAATAAATTTTGAGATTTCTTAATTGTAAAAGAATTGCTTACTTACTTCATAATATCGAGCTTACAGTCGCTCTATATAACCCTTGTTTAAATTATATCGTTGGTATTTTAATTTTTGCCCATAGTAAGTGCCGGAGTCGATCCCTTGTCACTACTTCTTCGATGTTAGACTGGGTACTTACTGGGTACGCGTTGTTTACGTACTCATACTATACTTGTTGAATATTTTATTGTGCAGGCACATATATATTTAGCGGCCTTGTGGGGACAACAGCGTGGTTAATGCGGGGACTTAGGTGAGCTGCATTCTATATTACGACCCGTAGCCAACAGAGTCTCCTTTAGAGTATTTATATTTTCTTTCCTATCCAAATTTGTATTCTGAATAGATGTTGTATTTCATTTTATTTCCTAGTTGACGCTCATGCACTTGTGACACCAGGTTCTGGGATGATCATGGGTTATTTAGTAATGTGATTGTTAAAAATATTATTATTTACTCTGAGATTTTCATCTTCAGCTATTTAATTGAAGGAAATTATGATTTCAAATATATTAAAATAAGAACTAAATTACCTATTTAGTGTTGGCTTTCCTGACAATGGTGTACGGCATTGTTGCAGCGATAACTAGATCTGATAGCCATATTATTGTTGCGGCAAACAACCCGGTCCTTACCATAATAATGTTGTGGTGGTAACCCGATCCAACATACCAACTCAAAGAGAAATATCCAACAAACAATCAAATATGGGGAGGTTCATAATATGATATCGCGGAGAATAGATAAGCATAATTCATTCAAGAAAAATTAACACGAACAACGAGAAATGGCAATCCCATATTCAAGATCTTATCTCACTCATATAACCAAACAAGAACCCAAACAAGGTCATTAACACATACAATCAAGTGATCACACAATCAAACTTAGCATAGGATAATAAGGCATGAAACAGGTAATTTATAGAACAAGTAAAGGCACGAAACATGTACGTGCATAAAACAAGTAAACGTAACAAGTAGATGCATAGGACAAGTAAAGGCATGTAATAGGTAAAGACATGAAATAAACTAGTTCTATAAAGCGTATACACTCGTTACCTTGCATATATGTTGACCCAATACATAAAATACATAGCAAATAGACTCAATTACATCCTAATCTCCCTAAATCAAGATTAAACATGATACTTATCTTTTTTCTGGAATAATTCAATAATCCAACATTGTTTTTCCTTTAGAACAAACATCCAAATCACTCAAATCTAGTCGAATAATGCTTAAACAAGTCAAAACAAGCTCAAGGAATCCTGCTAATACTAAAAAGGTTTGATCTTTAACATATTTAGAGAAGTTAACAAAAGGTTAACCCGAGCCCACTTGGTTGAAATTCAAAATCAAGACCAAATCCCAATTATCCATTAATCCCCGAGTCTAAATATGTGATTTATTTCAAGATCTGACCTCAAATCGAGGTCTAAATTTTTAAAATACATAATCTTTAATTTCTACCCAAAAATCCTATTTCTACTCTATGAATTTAGGGATGAAAATCAATGAAAAATAATAGAAAGTAATCAAGAATAAGTTCAAGTAAATAACCCTTGAAGTTGGGAACAAAATCCTCTCCAAAAATCGCCTCATATGAAGTCTAGATCTCAAAAATGAAATAAAATGAGCTAATCCCAAAATCTCTTATTTTATCCCAACTGCAGATATCACAATTGCGAACTATTATTCAGAATTGTGGAGCTCGCAAATGCAAACCAATGGTCATAATTGCAAAGTGGTGCTTGACCCATAAAAGTCACAAATGCGACACTCGCTTCACAATTGCGAGCATCACCAATTGCGAAGCTAGCCTCTCCTTCCTAGACATCACAAATGCAAGGTATACTTCGCATTATGAACCTTGCATTTGCGAGCAGCTCATCGCAATTGCGGTGACTACAACACCATCAATTCCAAAACGTATCAAAACAGGCAAAAACCAATTTGGAACTCGCTTGAACCCCGCAGGCCAATTCTAAACATCCAAATAAGTATATACCAGGAGGAGGAAATCTCCATGGATCTGCTGCAAAGCAAACAAGAATGGATAAGGAAAATCAATCGAACAAACTAGAATTGCAAGTCACGCCTATAACTGGGAAGGGGAAATCAATTGCGGATATCAATGAATCAAGCACATGCAGGAAGGCTAACAATGGTGACGGTACTAACTGCCATGCAGGGGATACCTCTGGGGTAAAAGATGTGCAAATTCAGAGTAGCGGTTCTGGAAATACCGGATCTAACAACCACAAGGAGAATGAAGATGCTCAAAAGGCAGTAAGAAATGGAAGCTTGCCAAAGGAGACTGGAAATACACAAACCTGGGCAAGTGTAGTTACAGGAAGTAAGATGGCTTCAAAAAGCATGAATCTGAGATATATCCCACCAAGCATCCAAGAAGGGAAGACAATTGTGAAATTGGAGCAGGAGGATATAGAAGAGGAGATTCAAAAACAGAAAATGGCTATAATTCTGTATGTAATTGGAGATTCACCATAGATAGGAGCAGTGGAGTGATTTCTAGTAACGCAGTGAAAGTTTGCAGAGAAGCCCCAAGTTTATTACCATAATGATGATTACTTTGTCATCCGATTCAAAAGCATAGAAGATAGAGAGAATGCGCTGTTATCAGGCCCAAATACAATTAATAGTAGACCTGTAAATAATGAAAGAATGATCGGCAGAATTTAATTTTCAGAATGAAGTTCTTAAAACCATACCAATTTGGGTGAAGTTTCCTATACTTCCTCTAAGCTGCTGGGGTGTGAAGTCACTAAATAAAATTAGTAGTGGTCTAGGTACCCATGTATATGCAGATGAGTGCACCACCAATATTGCATGCATATGATATGCAGGGGTCCTTCTTGAAATGGATATTACTAGACCACTTCCTAAGAGCATTGCTGTACAGGACCCTACGGGAGGGGTATATGAACAGGAAGTGCAATATGATTGGGAGCATGAGTATTGTGCATCATGTCTGCAAATAGGTCACAATTGCAAGAATACAAAGGTGCAGAAGCAGCCAGTACAAGACCAATGAGGAAAATAGGTAAAGCCTATGCAAATTTGGAGAAGAAGTGATCAAGTGAAGATAAGTGACAAAAGGAATGAGCAAATATAGAAAACAAATGGGCAAGCAATTGGTGGAAAAGATGTTGAGAACAAGGGGCAGGTCAATGAACAGTAACACAAGCAGAAGGATGGACAATGGTGAAAACAAAGTCAGCTAACAAAATGGCCAAAAGTGGAGGCAACACAGATAGAGAGGTAGATACGAATAATGGTTTTAGCTCATTAGCAAGTTGGGCTAATGAAGGCCAAGTCATAGTAACACAGCAAGATAAACAGTATGAAAGGGGACAGAGTAGCCAAGGTGATGCAGGTAGTCAAGACCATTTCCCTCCATTACTAAGATGAAAGTTATCACTTGGAATGTGAGGGGAGTGAATAAGGTGTATAAGCAAAAGGAGTTAAGGGAGTTTATCAAGGTGAATAAAGTAAATGTCATAGCTATCATTGAACATAGAGTAAAGGAATGTAAAGAGGGGCAGGTGATAAAAAAATAGTACCTACATGGGAAGGGATTTCAAACACTTCTTTGAATAATAAGGGGAGAATATGGCTATTATGGGATCTAAAAGTTGATGTAATGAAGGAAATCAGTGTATATAGTCAATATATACAAGCTGAAATCAACTGTGCTGCCAATGCAATGACATATCCCTTTACTGCTGTTTATGGCCTCCATACAGTGCAGGATAGGATGGCATTATGGAGGAAGCTTAGAGAAATAGAAAGCAGACAACAAGAGCCATGACTCCTAATGGGAGACTTCAATGCTATTCTTGAGGTAGAGGACAGGGTACATGGTCACTGTGGTGCAAGACCATGAAATAAGAGATTTTAGAGAATTTGTAGAAGATGCTGGTATGACTGAATTAAAGGCAATAGGGAGGTCATTTACATGGACAAATAGTCATGTTTTTAGCAAAATTGACAGGGCATTAGTAAATGGATAGTGGATGAACAAGATGCCTCCTATTCAAGTTCATGTTCTAGAACCATATTTTCTGATCACTCATCCTTATGTGTTGAATTGGGAAGACAAGAGAAGGCAACAATTAGACCATTCAGATTTATGAATTGTTTGGCTTATGATCCTAACTTTGGGAAGATAGTAGCAGATAATTGGCAGATAAATACCAATGCACTATACATGAAAAAAGTCTGGCTTAAACTAAAGCATATGAAACAGGCAATGAAAGGCCTGAATGTAAAGGAGTATTCTGGGGTTGCTAACAAAATTAAAGGCATCAGGAATGATCTTCAAATATTACAACAACAGATGAGAACTCCTAACCAGGATCCCCATAAATTTGAAGTAGAAAAAGAGCTAAGGTTGCAGCTGGAGAAATGGGATGTAATAAAGGAAAGCATCTATAAACAGAAGTCTAGAGTCGAATGGCGTAAATTAGGAGACTCTAACTCAGCTTATTTTTTTGCCAGCATAAAGAACAGGAGAGCTCAAGACCAGATCAAAGCACTTACAAATGCAGTAGGGGATATTGTCCAAACAGAGAAAAGAATAGAATAGGAGATACTAAACTTCTATCAGGGATTACTTGGGGCTGCAAATCCTATACTACCTGCTGTAAATTTGGATGATATGAGGAGGGTACCTGTGATTTCAAGGAAACAACAAATGCAGCTTATCCAGCCATTTAATAGAGAAGAAGTTTGACAAGCACTCCAGGGGATAGATGATAACAAAGCTCTAGGGATAGATGGTTTCAATTCACTATTTTTCAAGAAAGCGTGGGCCACGATTGGAGATGAGGTAACTGAAGTTGCTTTGAAGCTCTTTGATACTCAAAAGCTTTATCAACCGATAAATTATACATCTATAACATTGGTGCCTAAGATTAAAAACCCCACATCAGTGAAACAACATAGACCTATTTCTTGTTGCTCTACATTATATAAGATCATATCCAAAATGCTTAGTAGTAGACTACAGGGGGCCATGGATAGCAACATTGACAAGAGTCAAGTTGCATTTGTTCCTGGCAGACTTATTACAGATAATATAATCCTTAGTCATAAGCTAGTGAAAGGATATGGGAGGAAAGGGGTGTCACCAAGATGCATGATCAAAATCGACATGCAAAAAGCCTATGACTCTATTGAATGGGTGTTTTTAGAGCAAGTTTTGCATGCACTCAACTTCCTAGATACATTTGTGAATTTGATCATGGTGTGTATATCAACAGTATCATACTCTGTTATTATAAATGGTAAACCAAGTGTTCCCTTTTCTGCTAAGAGAGGAGTAAGGCAGGGTGTCCCTTTGCCGCCTTTCCTGTTTATGATTGCCATGGATACCTTAGCAGATCATTAAGGAATTTGGCAGAAAATCCAGATTTTAACTATCATCCTAGATGTGATAAACTGAACATAATACAATTGGGGTTTGCAGATGATTTGATGTTGTTTTGTAGAAGGGATGTGGTATCTACTAAGTTGTTATATAAACAATTCCAGCACTTCTGGACTAATTGCAAATCAAGGAAAGAGTGCTTTGTATTTTGGAGGGGTACCAGAACAGATTCAAAATCAAATTATAAAGGAGCTAGGTTTCTCTGTAGAAACCCTACCTTTCAGATACATGGGAGTCCCATTGAGTTCAAAAAGGCTAACTATTGGACAATGCCAGCCACTTCTGGAAAGGATGGTGGGGAGAGTGACTTCATGGACAGCAAAGATGCTATCTTATGCAGGGAGATTGCAGCTGATTAGAAGTGTGCTTATAGCTATTCAGCAGTTCTAGTCGCAAATTTTCATATTACCAAAGAAGGTGATACAAAAAATTGAGAAAATATGCAGAAGGTTCTTATATAATGGGAATAATGAATGTTCAAAGAAGGCTTTAATAGCATGGGATAAAATTTGCTTACCAAAATCAGCAGGTGGCCTCAACATAGTGGATATATACACATGGAATAAAGCTGTTATTCTCAAGCATTTCTGGAACTTATGCAAGAAAAAAGATAGGTTGTGGAGTCAATGGGTGCATAGTTACTATATAAAGGAGACTCAAGTATGGGAAAGCAATGCTCCGCAAGCATGATGGTTGATACTGAAAATCCTAAAAGCTAGGTAGTACTTGGAGGAAGCAGGGGTAACTATAGAGGAATTCCTAAAAGGGGAGAAATATGTTATCAAGATAGTGTATAACAAGATGAGAGACAAACATCCTAAAGTGCAATGGAGGAAATTGATCTGTAATAACCAGGGCTGTCCTAAATGGCTGTTCATATTGTATCTTGCAATACAGGATAGACTCTACACTAAGATGAGATTGAAGAAATGGAACATGGGGTATGACACAACAAGTGCACTATGTGACAGTGAGGAAGAAGATATTCAGCATCTGCTCTTTAAATGTTCGGCAACTGCTCAAATATGGCAACAAATGCTTGACTGGCAGGGAATCCAGAGACAAGCTATGAGATGGAAGGAAGAAGTGCAATGGGCTCAAAAATATGCTTCTGGAAACAGTGCCTGAGCAGAAATATATCGCATGGCTCTAGCAGGTAGTGTGTACTATGCGTGGTTAGATAGAAATAGCAAACTTTTCCAACAGAAAACAAGGCCAGCAGCTGTTATAGTGAGGCAGATTATTCAAGACATACACTGCAAAGGGAGAATGAGGAAGAGATTAGCGCAATTGTTGAAGCAGCTAGATTACTATCGTAGCTAGAGGGATTAGAGGATATAGCATAATGTATAGTTTTATATTTGTATGCGTAGAAGAAGATGAAGTATACTGAAGTTGGGGCTGATGTCCAACTTTTGAGGTTTTGAAACAATATGTAGATATTTCCCTGGTAATGCAAATTAATAATTACCAAAAAAAACCTCATACGAACTCGCTTTAAGCTCAAATCACCCAAAACAACATCAAAAATCAAGACTCAAGCATTAAAACTCAAGAACTTCAATGTTCATAAACTCATTTTTTTAACTTTCAACTGGAAGCACCGAAAAAACCTCGAGTCACCCGGGACCTTAATCAAACATGTGTACAAGTCCAAAATCATCATATGATCCTACCGAAAGCGTCAAAATATCGATCCGAGCTTGTTTATCAAAAATAGTGACAGTGGTCAACTCCAATAACTGTTAAGTTCAAAATCAAGATTTCATTGTAAAAGAAATACAAATTTTTTCGAAAATCGAAATGAACCACTCAAACAAGTCATAAATCATCAAATGAAGTAATTTAAAGTCTCAAATCACGAAACGAAATGCTAGAACTCAAAAATACCTAATGGGTTGTTACATTCTCTACCTATAAAAGAAACTTCATCCTCGAACAGACATAGATATGTACTTGAGGTGGTAATAAGATACGGATATCTACTCCTCATATCAAACTCGGACTCCCAAGTAGCCTCCTTAGTCAGCTGCCCTTTCCAAAGCACTTTCACGAAAAAATATCCTTAGTCTCGAGTTTCAAACCTACCAATCCATAATAGCTACCGGTTCTTCCTCATATATTAAATTCTCATCAAGTTGCACCGTGATGAAGTCCAACAAATGCGACTTGTCTTCATGATACTTTCGAAGTATAAAAATTAAAATACCGAATGTACCCCCACTAGGCTAGGAGGCAATGCAAGCCTATAAGCAATCTCCCAACTCTCTCTAATACCTCAAATGGACCAATAAAACTCAGGCTCAACTTGTTGTTCTTCCGAAATCTCATCACACCTTTCATAGGAGAAACATTCAAAAGTACCTTTTTGCCCTCCATAAAAGCCACATCACAGGCCTTCTTGTCCGTATAACTCTTTTGCCTACTCTGTGCAGTCCGAAGATGCTCCTGAATCTACTTCACCTTAGCGAAGGCATCTCGAACCAAGTCCATACTCAACATCCTAGCCTTATCAGGCTCAAACCAACCAATAAGAGAATGACACCTCCTACCATATAAATCCTTACGGCGCCATCTGAATATGGGAGTAGTAGTTATTCTTCTAGGCAAACTCCGCCAATGGTAGGAATTGAACCCACTGGACTCCAAAATCAATGACACATGCCCTAACATATCATCAAGGATCAGGATAGTCCGCTTGGACTCACTATCTGTCTGCGAGTGAAATGTAGTGCTGAGCTCCACCTGCATGGCCAACTCTTGCTGAACTACTATCCAAAAGTGTAACGCGTGCCATGGTCTAGATGATAGAAATGGCACAACGTGCAAACTAACAATCTTCTAATATAGATCCGAGCCAACCTATCTAAAGTTTAAGAAGTCATTACGAGAATGAAATGCAATTTGGTCAATCTGTCCATAATGACCCAAACAACGTCGAACTTCCTGACAGTCCATGGTAATCCTTCCACAAAGTCTATAGGAATGCGCTCTCACTTCCACTCTAGTATCACCAACCTCTGAGTGACACCAACTGGTTTCTTATGTTCATATTTCACTTACTGGCAATTAAAACACTGTGAAACATGCCCAACAATGTCTTTCTTCATATTCTGACACCAATAATTCTGCTTTAAGTCATGATACATCTTTGTGAAACATTGACGAATAGAATACCTCGAGTTGTGAGCCTCCTCAAGAATCAACTCCCTCAAACCATCAATATTTGGAACAATAACTCGACCCTGAAGACTGATAACACCGTTATCTCAAACCACAACCTTCTTCGCACCACCTCGCCGCACCTTTTCTTTCAACACCAATAAATGAGGATCATCGAACTGACGAGCCCTGATGTGCTCCAATAAAGGTGACTGCACCGTAACACAAGCAAGAACTCTACTTGGCTCAGAAATATCTAATCTCACAAATCTGTTAGACAAGTCTTGAACATCCATAGCCAATGGCCTCTCCTAATCTGGAATAAATGCCAAACTACCCATGCTCTATGCCTTTCTACTCAAAGCACCAACTACCACATTTTTCTTCCTCGGATAATACAAGATAGTAATATCCTAGTCTTTCTATCACGACCCAAACTGGAGGGCCATGACTAGCACCCGGCCATACTTGCCGAGCACCAATGTACATTTTGTCTAACCTTCTTTATTATCTTTTAGGGCCGACGAGATCAATATAAATGGTAGACATGGATCATGGACAACCAACAATAAAAGATGATGGCATGAACATACATAACATGGGATGACCAGACAATCAAGAAACTATATATAAGGTACGAGCTACCACGCTACCATGAAAGACTATACAACAAAAACAAGCCGACAAGGCATACCAAGCTATACATGAGTCGACACCTGTCTATGAGCCTCTAAAGGAACATAAGTGCTGCAACATTGCCGGAACAGGGCCCCGACATACCCATAATGCTTATAACAAAAATGCATACCAAGACCACGGCAAGTCCGAAGAAGGGATCTCGCCAATCACCGCTGAACTGGACAGCCTACTATGGTAGGGGAGCTGCGCCTGCCTGTCTATTAGGACCTGCAGCACGACATGCAGCATCCACAAATAGAAGGACGTCAGTGCGAATAAAGTACTGAGTATGTAAGTCAGGGAACCATAAGTACGAA